TTGGGGGATGACATACAAGAAAATGTCAGGTCATGGCTCATATTTTCCTTCCTGTCCCAAAGGTGATCATTGGCACAAAGACCATCCTGGCCAACGGTGCCCTGAGAGCTGTGACGGGAACTCACACTCTAGCACTAGCAGCAAAACACCATTCCACCCCACTCATCGTCTGTGCTCCCATGTTCAAGCTTTCCCCACAGGTATGTCTGTCTGTCTGTGTGGTAGCTAACAGAGGGAAGGAAGCCAAAGTACAGGCATGATCTCTGGGCCTTCAACCTACTCACTCTGAGGCCTCTCTGTATCTGCATCTACTCAGTGGATTAGACCCAGTAGAGGCTAGAAAGAGCCACAGAAGTCTTGATCCAGGAAAAAGAATTGAGAGTTATACCCTGCCAATTTTGGGAAGTCAAAATTTTATTGTTAGGACAGTACATAGTTGGGAAAGGCCTTTGCTTATATTGCCACCACTCCCCGTCAGCCCCATGGCTGAAAATGACAAGCAGATAGAAATTGGAACATAGAATTAGTCTTATTCGTCATAGTTTGGGGCCTGTCCTCTTTAGCCTACACACAGGTGGTTATTAAGTGAAGCCATTTCATCCCTGTGGAAGCTATTTGCTTGGAGAACATGAACCTATTTATAGGTCTCTGGTTTTTTTTCTTTCTCTCTTTTTTTTTTTTATTGTGATTTGGGTGAAGATTTACAGAGCAAATTCACTTTCCATACAGCAGTTCACATATACTTTGTCTCATGTCATTGACTACACTTTACCACAATGCAACAGCTCCCCTTCCACTTCCTCCCCATAGTTACCTCTTCCCAGTGTCCATCCCTCCATATACTCCTGCCCCCTGAGCTGTCTCCCTGTGCATAAGCAGCGCTTCTTTCTCCCATGATTGTTCTCTCCAGGGAGTATATCTACTTGAGGTAAATGTTCAACTCATATGACTGTCTTTTGTTTGGCTGGAAACCACAGGTGTGGGTTCAATTCCAGACCTGAAGGGCAGCTAGGGGCCATAGTCTCAGTGGTTCCACCAGGCTCTATCAGACCAGAAAACCTGGTCCCCCTCCTTTTTTTTTTTTTTTTCTCCAAATAATTTTGAGTTTTGTTCCACATTGTTCTCCCTCTCTACATAGATCTCCTTCCAAGTGGATGACAGTGGTAGCCAGACACCATCTAGTTCTTCTGGTTTCATAGTTGCATAGGCTGCAGATCGGATGGTGTACCAGTCGCTAGGACTAATTGTTTCCATGAATTTTGGTTTTCTTCATTCTTCTTTGCTCTGGACGAGGAGAGACCCATCGTTGCATCTAGATGGCTGCTTGCTAGCTTTTAAGATCCCAGTCGCTACTCACCAAAGTAGGAGGTGGAACAATGTTTTGTGTAGTATGTTATGCCAATTGAGCTTGATATCCCCTGCGACTATGGTCCCAAACCCACAGGTTCAACTACTCGGTCTCTCTGGGTAGCTGGCTGTGACCAGGCAGTGACCACAACCTTGCCCCTTGTCAGCTCTACTATACACCTGGGAATTCTGATCATTCACATAAACTTATAAGACCATTGTCTGCCAACCCTATATATGATCTTGGATACCCTCCCCATTTCATAGACATACCTAATTGTGTATCCTGTCCAAGGTCTCTGTTTTTTTTTTAACCTTTTCTTTTCTAGTTCCCCAATGAAGAGGATTCATTTCACAAGTTTGTGGCTCCTGAAGAAGTACTGCCTTTCACAGAAGGTAAGAGTTTTTTGTGGGTGTGTTTTGGGTTTGTGTGTGTGTGTGTGTTCTGTTTTGGTGATGGAAAGGACTAAATGCTGTCAGGTTGTGCTTTTTTGTGGTGACTGTTCTCTACAGCAACTACAGTGCTTAGGAATCTGATGGAGTCCACGTTCAGAGACAGTTACATTTTAGCTGGGTTATTGGGGCCATGGGGGTTGGGTAACCTAGCACTGACTGTGTTTGGCTTTGCATGTTGTTTGAGACACAGGCAGCAATCCAATGGAAAAAATGTACTTGTTTTCAATTGCTGTCAGGAATCAATTTGATGAAGTGGCTTCCAAAGGAAGTGGGCCCTGAAATGTTCCTTCTTAGAAAACTCGCCTGATAGCTTGTTTGTTGGGGGTCCTTTTCTCTGACTTCTGCAGGGAGCAGTTTTGCTCACTGAGCTTACTGCCTCATCAGCATTTAACATGACTTTCAGCACTCTGGGAGCACAGCATGGTATTTGGGGTTCCTTCTTGAACTCATTTGTTCATTCAGACATTCATCTTTCAAGCATTGTTGAGCACCCCCTATGTATCCAGCACTGTTCTAGGCACTGGGGATATAACAGTGAACAAAACAGATACAGCCTGCTCCCACAGTGTATATGTTTTTCTATTGGGGGATGACATACAAGAAAATGTCAGGTCATGGGATGTTGTAGGAAGAAAACAGCGAATCACGGTGACGGATAGAAAGTGACTAGGGGACTGCCTTAGTCAGGAGGGTCTTTCCTGGGGTGACATTTCTGTGGAGTCCCATATATGATAAGAGCCCACTGTGTGGAGATGGGGGAACGTTTTCCAGGCACTTGTGAAAAGGGCATGAAAGGGGTACCTGTTTAGCCTGTTGCAAAAAGATGACCACATGGCTAGAGGGTAATGAGCAGGGGGCGCGTGGTGTAAATTATAATTAGTGCAGTAGGGAGGAGCCAGGTCTTGAAGGCTGTAATCCCAAAGTTGAATTTTACTCTAAGGGCTATGGAAAGGCATTGAAGAGTTTAGAGCAGGGAGTGTCATTTGAAGTCATCTCTTTCAGTTTGCATTTTGCCATAGCTACCCTTTTGTAAAGAGCTCTGGTAGCATAGTGCCTAAGGCAATGACTGCTAACCAGAAGGCTGGCGGTTCAAACCCACCACCAACTCCTCGGAAGGAAAACTGGGCCATCTACTCGTGTAGTGATACCGCCTCGGAAACCCAAGGAGGGGTGTGTTTGGTTAGAATCTGTATGCTACTTCAGTATTAAAACAGGATCCTGAGATTTACCACGTGTGCTTGTCTTCCAGGGGACATTCTGGAGAAGGTCAGTGTTCATTGCCCTGTGTTTGACTACGTCCCCCCAGAGCTCATTACCCTCTTTATCTCCAACATTGGTGGGAATGCACCTTCCTACATCTACCGCCTGATGAGCGAACTCTACCATCCTGACGATCATGTCCTGTGAGCAGCTCGCGTCCTGAGCAGAAGTTGCTAAGGTCACAGAGTGGAGAGACTTCGGTGTTACTGCTAAAACACATCCTCCTTGTAAAGAGGGACTGCACATTAGCCAACCTCAAAGAAACTTGATCGTTTCCCTGCCTTTTCGCTCGTCTGGTAACAAGGACTCACATCCAGGACTGGTTTTGCCTCTTGGGTCTTCACACAGCCACAGGGCTGACCTACTCATTCTGAAGTCTCTTAGTGACAAGGTTACATCAGCTTCAGGAGTTTAAACTTTCTGGTTTGGTGCTGTGTTAAACATAACACCAAATACCTTGCTGGGATACAGATTTTTGCTCAGCGATGACTACCCCACCTTTAACTAGGCTCTGCCAATAAAAGCTACATGAAGGCTCCTGGGTCGGTTTATTTATCATCCTGCTCCAGTTGAACTGCTTGAAACGGCAGCAGCCACAGAGCCCTGTTCTGTTTTTGTAGAGGGCTGTAATTAGGGGTAGTAAGGCTAAAATAGGGAAGTATATAAATGACAGAATTTACAGTTTTCTTTATAATTCACTGGAATTGACCCAAACAGCTTGTTAGTACCTGGCTCTGAAACCTTTCTGATGATCACAGTCCACTGTGGAGCTTTGAAAGAATGCAGAATCTTGGGCTCCAGCCCAGACCTACTGCATTGGATCACTAGGATGTGCCTGGAAATCTGTGTGTTTAAAGCTCCCCTGAAAAGGATCCTCTCAGGGGCTGTTAATAGGACTATAAGTTGAGACATCTTTTTCAGAGGCAGGCAGGAACTTATTTATCCTTCTAGAGTTACTTGTACAAGTATACAAAGATACATACAAAGATGTTCAGTGCAGACTCCTGTCACAGCCTAAGTGTCCAACAGTAGGGCGAAGGTTCAGTACGACATTTATATTGTGGGACGTTATGTACACATTGCAATAGAGGTTCCAAAAGGGTGGCTGGAGGTGACTGGATTGAAGACATTTAGGCTGGTTCATCTTGTATTTAATATGAACTTGTTACCAATATTTAAAAATCTAGAGATTGCACATTAAAAAAATATTTCCAAATCTTCCTTCTTTTGAAAACTCAGAAGACTTGGCAACTCTCGGCCCACATTCCTAAATGGCAGCAGTTGGCTGTGGTTGGGCAGCTTCTGATTCCATGAGATGGAAAACCTCCAGTTGTCTGCAGTTCCTGCTGGCCCACTTATCCATTCAGGTTATCTGTCTGACCTCTGTAAACATTTGAGTCTGTGACCCTCGTGTTAAAAGGATGAGATGGGTCTGTCAGGAGATCCATTTTGTAATTGCTGATTAAATGCAAGCTGGAAAAAGGCAGGCTGTAGGGGAATGTGTGTAGTATGACCTTACTCTCATGAAAACAAACTTACATGTGTGAAAAAAGTCATAACAAGTAGCAACAGGAGGACATCTGATTTTAATACAGTATCATCATTTCCATCTTTTTATGCATATTGCATTCGTCATTACAGTTTTTAAACAGTCTCCCAGGTGATCTGATACTCTGCCATGTTTGGGTGCTACTGGTCCAAAGCAGAGGTCCGGTGGACTTCTGTCGTTTGAGAGTAGAAGAATCCCTGGGATGCTGTCAAAAAGGCCAGCCTGCTGCCTCTTTAGTGTCTGCCTTGAAGGGAGGGGGCGTGGTTAACAGACATCCCAGAGGTTCTAGGGATGATTTATAACCACACCCTGATCAACACTAGTCAGAGGTAGGCTAGGAGGGAAAGGCCTCTGTTCTTTGATACCTGTTTGCAACAGACGAATCTTTGCACTATGGCTCTTCGTGAAAGGAGAACAAGACTGAAGATGGTCAGTCCAAAAGACTGACCGAAAAGCTCTGACTCAGAAGCGTCTGACTCACTCAGGCCTCAGTCTGTCAATTATTTTTTAAAGCAGCTAAGACTCCACAATTTCTCAGTGAAGTGGCTTATAGCTACCAATTACTAGCAGTTGTCTCCTCGGAAGGCACCAATTCGAACAGCAATTCCTTTGGGTACAATTATGTGGTTTAGAGTAAGAGCAGCAGTGAGTCAAGGATCCTTATTCTGTTCATAGCTCCAAAATTGCTTTATGATACTTGTCTTTTGAGAGCTTCATCTCTGTCTAAAATTAGCACCAATATCCTTCCCAGGCATAACTGAGATGGAGGAAGGTTATCAGGGTGAAAACTGTCTCCTTGGTGAACTCTTACAGTGCCTAGAACAGGTGGTGGTGAGGTACTTAGTAGTTGCTGTTGGGTCGATTCTGACTGATGGTGACCCTATGGGTTAAAGACTAGAACTGTTCCATAGGGTTTTCTTGGCTGTAATCTTAGTGGAAGATTGCCAGGCCTTTTCTTCCATAGTACTGCTGGGTGGATTTGAACCACAAACCTTCAGGTTAGCGGTCCAGTGCAAACCATTTGAATGAGAAGACTTGCACAGACGTATGTCTTTTAGAATCTTTAGGACCTCAATTAAATGCATCTGCGGTGCAGTGTATTAATATAGCTCTTTTAGCCATGGTCTTTTTGACTCCCACCAGATGACTGGGTGGAATTACGTAAATGGGAGGTGCTTTATGGCCCTCCAAGGGAATTAGATAGCTTGGTAATAATGTAAATAAAGTAGCTGGTACCCTTATGGGGGTGGAACTGTGCAAATAAGGTATAGGGAGCCTTAATGGCGCTCTGGTGGCATAGTGCCTAAGGCATTTGACTGCTAACCAGAAGGCTGGCGGTTCAAATCCACTGGCCACTCCTCAGAAGGAAGGTTGGGCAATCTACTTCCATAGTGATGTACCTTGGAAACCCAAGGAGTCGGATCCAACTCAGCGGCAGTAGGGGTTGGGAGCCTTAATGTGAGGCTTGGTCAGTTGTGTCATCCACCAGGCTTAAAATGAGCCATCTCAGAGGCAGCAAACGGGGTGCGGGGGAGGCGTGTCTCACGCCCATCCAGACAGAAGAACCAAGAGTGGAGCATATCTTTGGACTTGAGATCCCTGTGCTGGACCTCCTTGGCAGAGAGACTGCATGAGATGGAGCAGTGGGCTTCCCAGCCACAGAGCGAGAGACCTAAGTGCCTTCGGGCAGGATGCTAGCTGGTGGAGTGGTGTGCCTCTCTGGGCACCTATTGGTAAAGCAAAAAGAGCTTTGCACACTGGCCTGAGTAAGGGAGAGGCTGAGGCCAGAGAGAAGTGTGCCTGTTGCACAGCTGAGAAGAAGCTGTCCTGATTGAAGAACTGTATCCTGAGTTGTTCCTGATCCTAAACTGTAACCTGTGACTTCCCTAATACATCCCATGATCATGAGTGCTGTGTGAATTGTGTGGTCACTGCAACGAATTGTTGAACCCAGCAGAGAAGTAGAGAGTACAATAAGAGGGATGGTTGGTGTCAGAATTGGTAAGAAAGTTGGAGGGTAGCAGCGTGTCTGACCTCTGCCTTATAGGAATCCATCCTTGGGCTGTTGATACTGGTCTGGATTTTCCAACCCACCCTGTGAAGTGAGAGGAGGCTGGTGGCCACAGCAGCCACCACCGCTGCCACATCCTTTTTGCACCCTCTCACAAAGCTATTTATAGGTCTCATTTTTCTATTTCCCTCTCTCCCATTTTCCTGTTTGAGAAGGAGTAAAGATTGGAAAGTGAGACCCCAGTCTGAACAAGGAGAAACAGGTCTTCTGTGGTTACACACTCCCTAGCAGTCTCTGTGCCCACCCCTGCTTTGCAGGCAAAACCAGCAAAACTCAGAGAAAAACTATTGCAGCTTGGAGAAAATAGAAAGGGGGCTCCTTGGATGCAAAAGCCTTCCTGAATATGCTAAGTAAACCAAGTTACAAAACTTACTCCATACAATTTATAAAGATTCTTACCATGGTTTCAAGCTTCAAATTTGGGCAGAGAGCAGAAAAACTCAATTCTTGGAACTTGAATAAGGAACAGAAATTCCTAATTTAGCTTCAGAAAAGAAGTCTTTGAAAACTACCAAGAAAAACTTAAGTGTAAAGTGATACCTCAAAGGAATAAGAGCCAGAACCCATATGATCCTAAGTCCCACAGCTGTGCTTCAGAACCGTTTCTCAGAGCAATCTGTTGCATCAATCTGTGTGTAAATGAGGGTGCCAGTCACATCTGCATCATCGAGCTACGTGACTCCATAATGCCACATATGTAGAACTCAGTCCATTAGAAATGTTTTGCCATAAAGTTATTACCAGATGGTGATGTAATTATTGTACAGTCCCCATACCGTCCACCTGTTCTTGCAAAAACTCCCTCTGTGGACATGTACCTAGTTGACACAAAGGAGCTATTCTGAAATGTAGTTTGGGAATGTTTTATATCTGGCCTCCTTTGCTTTGAATTACTCTTTCACTCACCAGACAGCTGTTCTAGGATATTGTGCAATGGATAAGCAATTGCTCGTAATAAAAAGCTATAGTCTTAAGTTTTCAGTTTTCTTCCCAGCACTCACTAGATAGAAGGCAGCCTTGGAGCCTACCTAGCTGCAATGTTTATGTTAAATATTGTGCTAAAGAGAAGGGTCTTTGTAGCAATGTCTTTCCAAGCATCTGACATTCAGAATCAAAATGTGCCTAGAGAAGAAGGAACCTACTTAGTGGTGAAGAAATAAAAGCAGTGAGATTCCTAAAAATTCATACTTCATACATAAAATTCCACAATTAGCTAATATACGAGAGCTAATAAGAGTTAATGATAAATAGCAGTAGCTAATGCCACTATTTTAAAATAAATAAAACCATCCTTGACTATTTTTTGCTTATGAGGTAAACCATAGCAAGTTAGGGAGCTCTGGTAGCATGGTGCCTAAGGCACTTGACTGCTAACCAGAAGGCTGGCGGTTACAACCCACCAGCCACTCCTCAGAAGGAAGGTTGGGCAGTTCTACTTCCGTAGTGATACCACCTCAGAAACCCAAGGAAGGGTCGCTATGAGTCAGTCCGAGTCAACGGCACATAACAACAACATAGCAAGTTATGTCTGGCAAGGATGGCCACATCTAGTTTCTTCAGACTGCTACTTGAATCCTGCTAGCTCACTGGCTCAACAGGATCCAATACCCACGAAATTCAGCTTCCCGCAGGCTTTGATCAGGTTGACTGAACTTCATCAGATATTACTGGGTAAGATTGAGGATCGAGTGCTCCGGAACAAATGGGCAAGGGGTGAAAATTATCAAGGGTTTGAAAAATCATGTCAGGTTAACTTTTTTTTTTTCCCTTTATATTCCCAACTTCTGATTCAATATACTTAGAACCTAAACCAAACCCACTGCCATTGAGTTGATTCTGACTCACGGCTATCCTTAAGGACAGAGGAGAACTGCCCCATAGAGTTTCCAAGGCTGTAAGCGTACGAAAGCAGACTGCCT